CCCACCTCTGCAGAGACAAAGGTTAGGAAAAGAGGGGGTGAGGCTCTGGGAAGGCAGAATGCGGGGAGAAATTCGCCTGGGAAATCAGGAAAAAGGCCGTGAAGGCGAGCGGCGCTTGCACATGACCGGCCGCAGCCAATGACGACCGCAAATAGGTCATAAAAAGGTCTATTACCAAGTTGTAAATTTTCTTCAAACAAAAAGGAATTTACTGCAATTCCTTGCGGATTTTGCACATACAGCTCGCAAGCGCCATGTTTTTTTCCCTCTCTTTCTCTCCCTTTCTCTCTCCCCTCCCTCTCTCCCCCTCTCCTCCTTTGCCTTGTCTCTTGCCTCTCTCCTTCCTGCCTCTCTCCCTCACCTTTTCTAGAAACTATATTTTTCCTTTTGGTTTTGCTCAAAACCTAGACATAGTTGGGCTCTGTGTCGGTGTGATGGGCGCGGGGTACTGGCAAGGCGCTCAAGGAGGCGATCCTGGTAGCCCCCCCTCACACACACACACACACACGCACTCCCCACACCCCGCCTTTCACAGGTCACTCAGCTTCTCCCCTCCCCTCGCGAAAGGAAGGGCAGCTGAACATTTTCGGTTTTTGCCCAGCTCCGCTGGGGGCAAGCCAGCTTCAGTGACCCTGGGCAGAAAACCTTGGCTGTGCAGGCTGAGAAAGCTGGTTCCCCCAATCCCGCCCTAATATAAATGGGGGACTCTCCCATTTCCTGGGGTTTCTGCTGTGGGAGAGTCACCAACCAGCTCAAAGCCCGGAAATGGTTTTTGCTACTTGTCAGCCTCTCCAGAATACCAGTATGAGGGCCTACTGCTGGCCTGTATATCTCTGCAGAAGGAACCTCCTGCACACGCTGCTTAGAGGAGAAGCAGTCTTTCTGGATTCTCTTTGAATTTCTTCACTGTAAGTTGTTTCTAAGGGCAATCCCCAACTTTATGGAGTTTGATTGTAGTTCCCTGCTCTCCTTGCCCTCAAAACGTTTGTCCATTGAGAAGGCTGCTCAATGCAATACCTAAGAGAAGAGGGGATCCATTTGTGACCCCCCGAAGTCAGCCTAGAAAAAAAAAAAGATTCCTCCAAGGCAGTACTCACATTCCGCTTGCGTTTCTGGTAGGAGCTGTTCTGGGTGAACCCCCTGGAAGTGAATGCCCTTGGCTGGCCTCCTGCACTCCCCTCATCATTAATGCATGGGCATGACCCATGATAGTCCAGGCTTCAGAGCCTGCCTACAAGAGGTAACCCTTCCCCCAATCCTTTCAAGGACACTGTCTTTGGGACTCTAGTAATATGTTTATAAATCTTTGCAGTTGATGCCTGTGTGTAAATTCCCTGCTATTAACATCCTCACACCCAGTAAGTGCCTAAGTAGACACTGACTTAAGCAGGACACAGCACAGCCCCCTCTGGAGCAGGCTATTTGTATTCCTAAAAAAAAAAAAAAAATCCGATGACCTTGAATGTTTTTGATTGAAGGACTTCTATCCCCATCTGTCGTCATATCCTTTCTAGAAGAAGCCAGTGGTACCTAACTTTGTGGAGGGGACCCACAGCAGCAGCTAGGGACCATGAAAATGTCCTCCCCCCTTGATCATCTCCCAGATGCCTAACGATTTGGCAAATACAGGAAAAGCGGAGGACACATACTTGGATATAAAATCACAACACCTTCTTTACTGGCAAAACAAACAATATTTTCAATTACACAAGCAAGTGGGGCAAGTCCTTGGGCCCTCCAAGCACATGACACTTTACACTGGTCTATACATGTGGAGCTAAGCAGAGATTGTTCAATTCTAAAATTTCCGGAGAAACACTTTCAGTTGTCAATTTCCCTAGTATACACCCCTCCATCCACACCCATAAAAGCAGAGATTTAAGACCCTCCTTTTCAGAGTGGGGAAGGAGGGCTAGGGAGAGACTGAGCCTACCCAGAAAAGACAGCCATGTTTGCCCTCACCCGATGCCGCGAACAGAGGTAAGCCATCCCTGGGCTTTGGGAGACTTCACAAAATGGCAGCTCCTGGGCTGATTTTTTTTTCTAGGAACTATTGAGACTCACACCCTCCTTTGTGTGTCTCTGGCCCTTGCAAACAGAGAGCCTAAATCACTCCGAAGGCTTGGTTCTTTCATTCAGTGCTACAATTGGAGGGGCCTGTTTTTTTCTAAATGCCTTGGAACCTTTGTAAGCAGACTGCAGCAGTCTAGGACAGAAAAATGGCACCTGGGCTTGCAAAGGGTTCTCTGAAGGATTATGCAAATTTCTGCAGCAAAAATGTTTGCCCCCTTGTTGCCGCAATGCTCAGATGTTTACAGATTTGAGCCAATTAGAAGGGTGTCTGGTGCGCCTGTCACTGCAGGTCTGTCTGCATGAAGCACCATGATGGGGGTGGGGTAGAGAGCGATTGTAAGAAAAGATGGTTGTGTGTGTGTGTGATGTGTAATTCACTAACTTCTATTTAGAGACAGATACAGTCTCTTTGCCAGCTGCAAAAGGAAACATATACTTACATTTATCTTGACACTACATGAATGTATGTAATCTCTATATAAATTCAAACTCCTGAATACACCATTATTGCAACGGAATCATTTTCATGTCATGAACTAAGATTTTATAGTGGGCTGAGAGTCAAGAGCTCAAGGGCACACAACCTCCACAGTAGCACAGAATGCTGGAGGAAGAAATACATTTTAACCCTCTCTTCCTTCCCTGATTCCCTGATTTTCACACATGACCATGCACCGATACCCCACCAGGTAGTCTTGCCACAGTCACCCCTTCTAAAAGTGACATCTAGGGAGGATCCTTGAATGGGAGACAGCCATAGTTTTGCTAATAGAAAGAGGAGTCCCCCAAATAGAGGGCCACTGAGGTTTCACCAGCACTGTCTGTGGACAGTTTGCCATGTAGGCCCTTCCCCAGTCAGGCTCTCAGGGTTTGACATACATGCTCTGTACCAGTCAGAGAATTTCAGGCAGTGCACAGAGCAAAAGGTTCCCAAATCCAGCATGCGCATTTGCAGCTGTCTCCTCTTGTGCAAATGTTTTTTAAGCCTAGGACCACCTGTGACTTAAAATTGCCTTTCGACAAAAACCACAGTCACAGACCCTTGTCTGGATAGAAAGCAAGGTGGTGCTTTGCCCCTGGCCCCACATTTCCGTGTCCATCAGTGAAGCTGCAGGCAAAATGCCCGCCAGCACCACAGGGGGCAACCCAGGTCCAAAGCTATAGGAATTTATTTTCTTACCTGTCAATAAAAGCCACTCTGGAAATAAAGACATGCCTCTAAAATAAACACGTCTAGAAAAAGCAGTGAGCTCTCCGGTGTCTGCCTGATAATGTGCTTTCCTTTTTACGGGGCAAACTGCTAACTCGAAATTTCTGCTTCTTTTTTTTTTTTTCCCCCTCTCCTCTCTTCCCCTCCCCTTTCCCCTTAAAATGGCAGCTGCAGGAGCAGCCTTGAGTGGGAAATGGATATCTTGTTAATAACAGATCCCAAACCCCAGCATCAGCGCTGGATCAGCGGAATAAGCTCTGGTGTAACCTGGACCCTGGCTCGTCCCCCACTGGGCCTACAATTTGAGTCCCTTAAGAAGTTCAAAGCTATCTTAGCAGAGTTATTTAGAGCAAGTAGAAGCAAGGATGATAGCCTAGCCCTCTGTGGAATGAGAACTCCACCCCATGCAGCATTAAAAAAAAAAAAAAAGTGGGATGCGTGTAACGCCCGCCCCTTTCTTATCAGGTAGAAACCTTGAGTGAGACACTGCCTTCTGGAAGCCCAGGCGATTGCTCACAATTTTTTTTTTTTTTTTTTTTTTTTGTGGTGCTCAAAGACACTGGCTCTAGAAAGAGATTCATTTCTTTATTAAGGAGCTAGATATGTTCTGGAGCGGTTGTTTACACTCGAATTTTCCTGCGTTTGCTCCCAGGACTTGTTTCAAAAGAGTGAAGCCATAGCTTTCCTGGAGTACAGCAGAGGACGTACCAACCGACATCTGAGATGCGTACAGCAAGTTGGCTCAAAACGGGCGTGTGAGCAGAGCACAGGGAATACAAATAATTATGGCACCTACAAACAAGGAAATCACGGACCTAGCGATTTCAGGCAATTACAAACGCAGTTCAAAACGAAAGTAGAACACAAGTTGAGAAACAAGGCCATCTACAAGGCGACTTGCCAGAGTGAAAAGTTAATGAGTGAAAATATTACAATTGGCTTTTCAAGTATTCATTCACTCTAGATGATTTAATTGCTATAATTTGAATGGACTATAGAATAATGATTAAATGTCAACCTTGACAATGTCCTGAAACTTTTGTCACTGGCCCAACAGTTTCCCAGTTTTCCCAAAGGAAGGTGAAGAGCCAGGACTACAGATTACAGTTTTCATTTAACATGTGCTTTTTCAAATATTTGGCCCAGACTTTATCCCCGAGATAATTACATTTACAAAATACTCAAATAAACCTTTTAGAGTAAACAAAAGGCAACCAAATCATTATAAAAGCAAAAGAGAAACATAAATAATACATTTTAATCAAATAATATAAAGTAAATATTCTGCAGGCATGATTTTTAAAAATTAATACACGTCTTTTAATTTACTCACCGTAAGGAAAATATTTAAAATGTTCAATTGCACTTGATTAATAAAGCATCTTAAATTCAATTATTTAGTGCTAACCATTAGGAAGTTTACGTTGTTGAGGCAAATCACCAGTTCAGACATTAAAAACTACCATTATAAAAATATAGCCACAAGGTCAGTATCTAATCACCCTTGCATAGGACAGCTCAAAGGCTGCTTTTATGCAGTGCTAGAAATTTCTCTAAACATCCAAATCCCTCTCCAAGCACAGAAACCTCAAGAGCAATGACATGAAGGTAGCTTGAAACACAGGTAAGGTCCTTTCCAACAAAGAAAAGAGGTGATGTCAGCCAGCATGTGGTGAACATTAGTTTTAATAGTCTGGCAAACATTTAAAGGTGGAAGTTAATTTGTCAGGCCTTCGGCTGTATCTTCCTCCAGTTCTTGGGCTTCCTTTTTGGTTTCCCCATCCTTTGCCTCCTGCCGGGAAACTGGGAATTTGTCCTTGTTGTTCTCCTTTTTCCATTTCATTCTCCTGTTCTGGAACCAGATTTTTACCTGCCTCTCAGTGAGGGCTAGGGCGTGGGAAACTTCAATTCTTCTCTTCCTGGTCAGATAAGGGTTAAAAAGGAATTCTTTTTCCAGCTCTAGAGTTTGGAAACGACTGTAGGTTTGTCTTCCTCTTCTTCTACCAGGAGCTGCTGAATAAAACAAACAAAAAAGTGAAAATAAATGTTTTTAAAATATAATGGTGCCTCTGGAGATTACTCAAGGTTTCTGGACGGGTCTAGGGAGTAAAACATACACAGCTCTCTTTAGATCTGATAATGTACAGAAGTGCAAGCAAGAAAGATTCACAATTATTCTGCCCCATCATCTTCACATGGTTTCCATTTTTAAAAAAATTCTGTATTGCTTTATGAATAAGTAATACATAATATTATGGATACCCAAGAAGGAAGAGGAGGGGGGAGAGGGAGAGGAAAAGGGAGTTTTAAAGCTAGAACGTGAGATGAAAGCAGATTTCCTCCCCCTCTCCCCGCTTCAAAAAAAAAAAAAAAATTACATCCCAACCTTGTGGTCTCATCCAGGGAAACATTTGAGAAGGAGACGAGCTCTGATTTAAGTGGTCTGGGTCCTCGCCAATATTACCACTGGACGATTTACAGTCAGGATATTGTACCAGCTCGGCCTCTTGCTGGGTCGTAAAAATCGGCTGTCTCTGTAAGTTATCGTATCCGTAAAACTTCGCGGGCTCACCGTGACAGGCAATCCCGCCGCAGGGGGGAGGCGGCGGAGGCGGCGGAGGAGGAGGGGGGGCGGCC